TAACATAGTGGTGAATAGTTGGAGATTTTAAAAATGTTCATGAATTACATGTTTTTATGTGTTATTTAAAAAATATACACACTGTCTATTTTAGATTGTATAACTAGGATTTTGGAAATCTCTATAAACGTTTCAGTTGTTGTTGAGAACTTTCAAGTCGGTTCAGACATGTAAGGACCCTGTACAGGGTTTCTGAGGCTCTAAATCTTTGCTGAAGCATAAAACCTCATTTTTCTCCCACAGACCAGCTAGCTGGTGGGCTCAAACTGCTGAGTAAATTGGGTAATTTAAGTACTATACTTTAATAAAACTTGTCTTTTTAAATTTAGTTTTTTAAAAGTCTGAATAAATTGTAGATTAATTAGGATATCCTATGCAGGGTCGCTATGAGTAGGAACCAACTTGATGGTACTTAATAAAAACAAAAACAAAATAGCATATATACCTACTCCTTACTTATCAACTATCTAATTACTGATTTTTGCATTCATGATAACATTAATACCCAAAAATAGTTAAAAATCCAACTATTTTGGGTATTAATGATACACTGCACTTCTGGTAATAATGAATGCTGCATATGTGTGACATAAGAGTAATGTTGCCTGTGTTGGTTAAGGTTATGTGCCAACTTGACTGATCCATGATTCTCAGTGGTTTGGCAGTTAATGGAATGATGTAACTTGGCAGTTATGTATTCATGTAGTCACTTCCCATTTTGTGATTTGATATGGCCACCTTCAATTTTTCCATAACATGTTAATTAGTAAGGAGTGGATGTATTTTCTGGTACCTATTTAAATTTAAAGGAGCTCTGGTAGTGTAGTGGTTAGAATCGGGCTCAAACCTTAAGGTCAGCAGTTCGAAACTACCAGCTGTTCCGCGGGAGAAAGATGAGACTTTATGCTCCCGTAAAGATTTACAGTCTTGGAAACCCTGTACAGGGTCGCTATGAGTCAGAATCGACTCCACGGCACATAAGCGCCACCAGCATTCAAATTTTAAATGTAAACTATGTGTTTATGAGAATATGTTTTTTTCTTCACTTCCAACTTTACTGCCAAAATTACGTAGTATTAAACTTGTAGTTATGATTTAAAGTGGGACTATTTTCATAGATCCCACTCCAGAGTTACTTAGTATTTTGCTAATATTTACATTGTATGTCGAATACTATGAAGCATATAAAATGTTTCGTGTTTATATATACATTGAATTGAACATTAGAAAATTATAGTCTGAATTCTGCCACTAAGTTGTATGGCTGGTAAATGGTGGTATAAGTGAAGTGCTCTCTAGGAAGCACTTGGAGATGGAGGGTAATAAAATGATTTTTTTTCCCTGATAGTTTAATTAGTGACAAGTACGGTGGTTCAAGCTCACTAGCCACTCCTTGGAAATCCTGTATAGGGTTGCTATGTGTTGGAACTGACTTGGCAGCCTTAACAACAACAACGGTATTCTTTTGATGGAGTCCTGGTGTGGTGTTGTGGGTTAATGCGCTGGACTGCAAAGTTGGCTTGAACCACAAGATAGGCAGTTCAAGCTCACCAGCCACTCCTTGTGTCACTATGGGTCAGAGCCCACTTGGTGACACTTAACAACAACAATTCTTTTGATGGACTCCTGGCGTGGTGCTGTAGGATCAGCACTGGACTGTGAACCACAAGGTCAGCTGTTCAAACCCGCCACCTGCTCTTTGGAAACCCTATACAGGGTCTCTGTGAATCGGAACCGACTTGACAGAACTTAACAACAACAATAATTCTTTGATAGTAAGAATTATAGAAGATTTAAAACATACTAAAGTCTCTAGTCAATTTACCCTGGGAATAATATCAGAGATAGGTCAGAGATGTAATTAGATTAGTATGTAGAAACCTCATTAATTTTAATGTATTCTCTCTTGGACAAAGTCTTTGAATGAAGCAGGGTGAGCAGCTCAGAAGAATGAAAAAGTATGAGGAAATGGGTTGGGTGGTTGGCCTGTTGGGAGAGCAGTTTATGATTTGTCTTTTCCTGAGGCTGATTGTATCCTATTGTTGTATATCAATACTGAGAACCAGGCCTTGGATCATGAGTACACCAGATTTATTGTCTCAGAAACCCTAAGGAGCAGTTCTACTCTGTCCTATATGACTGCTATCAGTTGGATTATACTTTTATCATACCTCAGAGTATGGCTTTGTTTTGTTAAATAACAAGTTCATTTCATTTCAGAATACTCATATTAAATATTCTCAAGAAACCAGTTATGTATGGTTTTCAAGCAGTTAAAACAAAACAATAGGACTAACTTTTGTTGTTGTTTAATATTTAGGCTATCAACATGACGGCTGAAGAAACAGTGAATGTAAAAGAAGTTGAAATCATTAAATTAATTTTGGACTTCCTGAATTCAAAGAAGCTTCACATTAGTATGTTGGCCCTCGAGAAGGAAAGTGGAGTCATAAATGGCCTATTTTCAGATGATATGCTTTTCCTGAGGTATGATTCCATTAAAACTTGTAGCTATATCAAAGAAGTGTTAAATATTAACAAGGTAATATGTAGAATACAGCTAAAACTTAATCACTACAAAGTATAAAGTAGAATTTCAAAATTTCAAAAATTCTGTTTTTATAATAGAACATCTACAGAATGTTTTTAGTACTTATCTCACCATATTTTCAAGATTCATCCATGTTACAAAAGGACAAGTGTTGTGTGATCCCACTTATGAAATAGACAAATATATGGAAACCAATGTTTTTTAGTGGTTGTCAGGGGTGGAGGAAGAGAGAAAGGAAGGGTCTTTGCTTAGGGGGCACTAAGTTTCTGTTTGTGACGGTGGAATAATTTGGAAATGAGTGATGGTAGGGATGGTAATTGTACAACATAATGAACATAATGTCATTGAATTATACATGTAAAAATTTTGAATTAGCACATGTTTTGTTATATATGTATTTTACACAATAAAGCAATAAAAAATGAAAATTAGAAGTTGGACCTGGTAGAGTGGAACCAGCATTGGGCTACCACTAAAAGCTGTGTAACTGGAAGTTTCCTCACTTGTAATCTCACTGACCTCTAAGGTCTGCTGTAGTTCTAAAATGCCCTTGCTTAAGTGACTGGACAGTTGTCCTTTCAGCTACCTGAAGTGACATGAGTTGTTATTACTAGACATTAAAAACAACAAGAATAATGACAACATGGAAACAAGGCATACAATTCCATTGTGACTCTGGCGCCTAAAAAGTTATTAAAAATCAGAGACTTTTGCAAGCTAAAGAAAATATTTCTGAAAAATGATGTTTTCTGGCTGTAGAAATAAAATATACTTATTATAGAAACATTCTTTATAGAAATTGGGCAATTTTTTTTTTCTGTGCACATGTAAAAAAATAAATTCTGTTGAATCTTTATAATCTACTACCCTGCTTTTATTAATTACCATCAGAAGGATTTTTCATGTGACAAATTTATAAACACTTAACAAAATTAAATTTGTTTGACTTCTTCAAGGATTCCCTATTTTTAGATAATTATTTTCATTTTTTCTTATATATAATGCTCCACTGAGCATCTTTCATATGTGAAAATTTTTCTGTATTTTAGATGATTTCTTTAGGACAGATTCTTGGTTGTAGAATTACAGGAGCAAAGGAAATTAACATGGATGCCAACATGGAAAGTTAAATATATCCTAACTTGAATTGCATGGAAAAAGAAAAACTCAAATTTCCAAGCATAAATGTAGTCTAGATTTGTATGATACCAAATATCCTTGACAAGGAGAACAGATTGTTGGACATGTGGCATTTTGTCACTTGGAAAGCCTTAAGTAATGAAGTTTTCCTAAGTGATGAAATAATTTTTTAGAAAACTTTATTACATTAAGGAATTTACTTAAATTTATCAACATCTTTGTGTTTTGTGTTATGCATGTCATTTGTCGTTCAGCCCCAGGAATCTTAGGAACCAATAGTACAGCACAGTATTCTTTAAAAAATTTTTAAAAACTATATATTGTAAATTAAGTGAAAGTTGGAGTCCCGGGGTGGCACTGGGGACTAATGTGCTGGACTGCAAAGTTCGTTTGAACCACAAGGTCAGTGGTTCAAGCTCACCAGCTTTGGAATCCCTATACAGCACTCCTTGGAAACCCTGTACAGGGTCACTGTGGGTCAGCACCGACTCAATGGCACTTAACAACAACAAGTGAAAGTTTACAGACAAGATCATCAGTTTTACATTCAACAAATCATATACTTTGTTTCATCTCAGTGATTACAGTCTCCTCCATGTAACAACTCTGTTTCCACCCTGTGGTTCCTATTTGCATTCTACCCACCTTCCCATCCCTTCTCAACTCTATCTTTAGAACAATGTTGCCCTTTCGATTTTGAATGATTGACCATTCCATGGTGAGCATACCTTACTAGTGTTGTTGTCTTTCCTATACACCTATCTACTGCTTGGCTGAAAATCGGGCCATGAGGAGGGTGAGTTCTGTTCCAGACCTGAAGGGTGGTGGAGAGCCACAGTGTCAGGTGCCCATAGTCTCTTTCTGACCAGTAATCCCAGTCTTTTTTTGTTTGTTTTTTACAATTTTGAGTTTTGTTCCACAATTTCTCCCACTCTCTTCTGGACCCTCTAATGTGATCTTTTTCAGAGCAGTTGGTAGTGGTAGCTGGACACCATCTAGTTCTGGTCTCAGAGTTGTGTTGACTTGATGTTCACCTGCTTTATTGATCCACTGTACTAGCTGATTCCAAGCACCTTCAATTTTCATTACTCCTCTTTCTTCCATACATGGAGAGACCAATAGTTGCACCTTAGATGGCTACTCATGAGCCTTTAAAATATCAGATGCTACTCACCATAGTAGGATGTAGTACAGTGTCTTTTGGGACTGTTTTGTGCCATTGGAGCATGGTGTCCCTTGTATAGTCTGGAGCACCTAGGCCCAGAAACTCAGTGCCTTAAGATGTTTGATAATATTTAAGAAATTTTTATCGTTTTGCCACTGTATGTGAAGCAGTATTTTTTTTACTTGTCTTTTAATCATTGCTACTCCTGGAATTTAATTGTAGTTGTTGTTGTTGTCAAGTGCTATCGAGTCGATTCCGACCCATAGTGACCCTGTACAAGGTTTCCAAAGAGTAGCTGGTGAGCTTGAACCGCCGACCTTGCAGTTTAAACGGCTTTAGTAGTGGCTCTCAAATGCTCCTTCTAGCATCTATGGATTTGTGATGATGTTTTACCAGTCTGAGGTGAAATGCAAAGAATTACAGAATAAAAAGTTATTTTTTTGAAGTAATATTGTGTTTTCAATAAGAGTTTACAAAGCAAATTAGGTTCCCATTGATCCATTTCTACACAAAATCTTTCAGTGATATTGGTTACATTTTTCACAATGTGTCAACATTCTCATTACTTTGTTTTTTCATATAATGTGTCACCATAAATAATGTGCACATGGTCTAACCACCATGATGTGCTCCGGAAACTAAAGTAAGAGGTGTTGTGCAATTTGCAAACAACAACAGCAATTGTATAATTCAAGTAAAAGTACAATGCCTGTTATGGTTGTTCCATTTCCAGTCATCTAATTTCCCTCTCTCTTCATCTTTGCTTTAGGGTAATTGTTGACCGTTTGGTCTACTGTAGATGATTTTTTAAAGAAGTGCATTGTATTCAAACTACTGATAACCAAAAATAAAGCAAAAATCTTGAAAGCAGCCAGCGAAAACCAAATCCATTGCCATAAGTTGATTCTGACTCATAGCTGAGTTATAATGTGTTGTATGAGCCACTCTTTAATTTAACCTTGGAATCATTTCAGTTCAAAGTTAAATTAAAGAGTATCTCAGGGCCATGCTCATAGAGAGTCCTCTAATCTCAGCTAGTCTAGTAAGTCTGGACATTTTAAGAATTTGAGTTCTGTTCCACATTTTTCTCCTGTTCTATCATGATTCATCTACTGTGACCCTGTGATCTGATCTCATGGTAAATATGGCCCTGGCTCATGTAGACTATTAGGCCTGGAGACTAGTTTCTTCTGAGTCTTTGCTTTTCTTCTTTCTCTTTTCCCTAGATGAGTAGAGACTAATAGTTGTATCTTAGATGACTGCTTGAAAACTTTTAGGACCCCAGACATTATTCACCAAACTAGGATGTAGAACATTAAAAATAGTAAGTTTTTAAAATTAAATTGAATGTATTCATCTTAAAGGATTGGCCTTTGAAATTGTATCCTTCTAACTATAAAATATTAATATGTAAATTTATAAAATGATAACATGTTATTGTTTTTATTATATACTTACTGGTATTTATGTAAAAATTCTGTAATACTGCTTATGTGATAAATTAAAAATTGGCAACCCTATATAGTTCTCCTCACCTCTTTGTTAATTTTGTGAGAAATTCGAACATAAGGAAATTGGTGTTATTAAAAAAAAAAAAGATATGAATGCCTGTAACTTTTGGTAGTTTCCGTGGGACCACCAAAGCAGGATGAGATCTGATCTTATATCTTGCTGTTTTTATATTCAGAGTGTAAACTTTAAAGTCAAATTCCTTGGACATATAAAATTCATAGTTTAGGGCACAGTTTTGGCACTATTGACATTTTGGACCAGGTAATTCTGTGTTTTGGGTAGACTGTGCTATACATTGTAGGGTGTTTAGCAGAATCCCTGACCTCTGTCTACTAGGTGCCAGTAACACATTCTCACCTTCAAGCTGTGACAACCAAAAATGTCTCTTGTTGTTAAGTACTGTTGAGTCAGTTCTGACTCATAGTGACCTGTATAAGGTTTCTGGTGGGTTTGAACTGCCAACTTTGTGGTTCACAGTCTAGTGCTGATGATACAGCACCACAAATGCCCCTTGTGGAGGCAGTCACCTCCTTTTTAGAACCATCGATTTACAAAGAGTGGAATGTATCCACACATTGGCTCTTAAATTATACATAATAGCTTTAAAATTGTAAGATGTATAGGGAAATACAGAAATTTTTATATGTAGTGCATTGTTTTTACATAGATAGAAAACCCACATGCAAGTATAATTCATTTTATTATGTTCTGCAGAAAATGCAATTTTACAAATTGAGGGTTGGTGGAAACACTTTGTTGAGCAAGTTTATTGATACTATTTTTTCCAACAGTATGTGCTCATTTCTTGTGTCTGTGTCACATTTTGTCAGTATTTAGAAGTTTTTTATAATGCTAATGCACTCTTAATTGACTACAGTATAGTATAAACATAATTTATATGTACTAGGAAACCAAAAAATTAGTGTGACTGGCTTTATGGCAATATTCACTGTGTTGCAGTTGTCTGGAACTGAACTCACAGTATCACTGAGGTATGCCTGTATACATTAGTATGTGGAGTGGTCACATAGTCATAATTAATTAATTCTCACATAGTATATATGGTTATAAATAAGTTGTGAAAAATTTTAGTTTATTTTGGTGTTTGAAGAACCCAGTATAATTTTAATGTCTTTATTTGCCTTTTGTCATTTTAACGTTATCTAGTCCTTTACCCTGCTTTTAATTAGTGTAGCCCAAGTTTGATAACACACTTGACTTTTTCTTTATGTAGGCAGTTAATTCTTGATGGTCAGTGGGATGAAGTTCTTCAGTTCATTCAGCCTCTGGAATGTATGGAAAAGTTTGACAAAAAAAGGTAAGATTTTCTATGACATTTTAGGGTCTTATCATGGCAGCATGGATGAACTCAAGCGTGGCAACAGTAGTGAGGTTGGCCCAGGATCAGGCAGTGTTTCATTCTGCTGTGCATAGGGTCACTCTGAGTAGGCACCGACTCAATGGCACCTAACAACAACAACAACAATCATTGGTGCAAGTTTAGCAAAACAGAACACAAAATTTAAACCAAGACTTAATTTTTTATAGAAAACAGAACATTCAATCCTATTGAGTTGGAGCACTTCTAGAGGATAAGGGAACTATACTTTAATTAGTTGAAAGTATTATTTGCAAACCTACTTAATTAACAGAGTTGATATTCACAGTATCCCAAGGGCCATTTTCGAAGCAACTCTTTCTTCCTAAAACAAAGGCTTCAAAAATGTCATTCGTTGTCTTCTGACCCCGATTGTTTCTGATGATAGTTCAGTCTCATTTTTGTCCTTATTCTCCTACATGTTAGTATTATTCGCACCTTTGGCTTTTTTCAAGAAGTCCTGGTGGCTCAGTGGTTAAAGCACTTAGCTGCTACTGAACGGTTGGTGGTTTGACCCCACCAGTCGCTATTCAGAAGAAAGATGTGGCAGTCTGCTTTTGTAAAGATTTACAGCTTTGGAAATCCTGTGGGACATTCCACTCTGCCCTCCCTACAGGGTTGCTGTCAGTCAGAATCACTTGATGGCAGTGGGGTTGGTTTTGGTTGGCTGCTTTCAAAATTTTTGCTTTATTGTTGGTTATCAGCAGTTTGATTATGCGCTTAAGCCTTGTATCAGGAATTGTGTTGGCATAATGGTTAAAGTGTTTGGCTGCTAACCAAAAGGTTGGTGGTTCAAACCCACCAGTGGCTCCATGGAAAAAAGACCTGGTGATCTGTTCCCATAAAGATCGTAACCTAGGAAAATTTATGGGGCAGTTCTACTCTGTCCTATATGGTTGCTAAGATTCAAAATCTACTTGATAGCAGTGGGGTGGTTGACTGAGCAAAATTTATACAATAAACTCTGGTGTATTTATCACTATGACTCCCTCTTTTATTGACTCCCTTCCTCCTCACCCTTCCCCCACTTTCACCTGTTCTCTGGTACTCCCAAACTTTTTGTTGACCCCTTAAAGCCTTACAGGCAGCTTTCTAATGGAGTTTTAGCTCATACTGTATAGATTGTACCATGTCCTCAGGAAAACTCTATACCTTTGAATCTCATGGCCTGAACATCTCTTTTTTCAAGGATTGACTCCCTCTACTTTTTGCCAGGTTTTGGTTGTTCTCCAGTGCTTTCAAGTAGTCATTATTTTATGTTTTATTCTTAATTTATAATTGTTGTTACAGGAAGGTTATCCAGGTATGCTATTCCATCATTACCAGAAGTGGAACCTTATATTATTATTATTTAATTTTTTTTCAATTGGTTTTTTTAGGGAGGAAGGGTAGTGAGGAGTAAGGCCTAAGGGTTAGGGTTGATGTTGTTGTTGTTAAGTGCCATGGAGTTGGTTCCAACTCATAGTGACCCTGCACAAGGTTTCGGAGGTTGTAAATCTTTACGGGAGCAGAATGCCTCATCTTTCTCCTGCGGAACCGCTGGTAGTTTCAAACTGCTAACCTTCAGGTTAGCAGCCTGATTTGTAACCACTACTCTACCAGAGCTCCTTAAGGGTTAGGGTTAGGACATCCTTTATTGTTAGGAATGTGGTTGGATTTAGGATTAGTGCTGTAAGTAAGGGTTGGGCTAGGCTAGGAGTAAGGCTTGGTCTAGGGATAGAAATAAGGCTTGGTCTAGTTTTTAGGGCTACAGTTAG